ATCGGGGGAACGACAATGTCCTCGGTATTTCGTGCCACGCGAACAAATATCCAGTTTATCTTTGGAAACGGAGCGTTCTCAAAGCGGTTCACACGTAGCTGCATTTGGCGAACGATAAACCGTGCTTTATTGCAGCCTCGCTTAAGGGATTTGTACGACGTGCAAACGACGAAGGTACAGATACGCGGACTCGGGAGGAGGTAAACCGAGCGGGTTGGGGGCTCGTCGCTAATCCAATAGCGGTTCTCTTAACTAACCCCTTCCCTAAGTGGCGTGACACGGGAGTGGTGGGCGACCGGAATCGAGTTAATGTAATTGAGAATTTTAGCGCCTTTTGCTCCCCTCCCCACCCCTCTTTCGCTCGATCGTTTTTCCTCCCGGCTATTTCCGCCCTTTCTCAAGGAAAAACCGAAAAATTATCGCGGCTTAACGACCAATTTTGTCGCTCCATTTTTCCCCCGCCCCCCTCCCTTATACGATATTTTACACGAATCGATGCTATTTTTTCGATTGAAAAAAAAATTAGCGGATACAATGCTTGTTTCACCGCAAGGATTCACGCGATTCGCAAAGAAAAGGAAAAGAGAAAAAAAAAAAATACGCGAACGAGTTAAATATCATTGGTTAAGCGAGAAGAATCGAGTAATAAATACGGAGTTTTAACGTTAATTCGATGCCATCCTGCTCGATGCGCGTAAAATTTCGCGTTTAATACAATTTTATACGCGAAACGAACTCGTTGTTTAAATTAATAAATATCGGCCGGCGTAACGCGATCCCGTATTTTATTATGAAAAGCGTTTAAATTTCATTTTACGTCCGATAATACGCAAATAATATCTATCCACGATACGGGGCGAATCGGTTAAAAATTGAATCGATCGAAACAACGGGAAAAAACGATCGCACAAGAGGAGTGGACTTGGATAAAAAAAAAAAAAAGAATCGTTAAATTTCCTTGGTGAAGAGGAGGCGATGCAGAGAGAGAGAGAGAGAGAGAGAACGGCGTTGTGCACGTCGACTCGAAAAGAGGGGGTTGCGAGCGGGGTTGGCGAAACTGTTTTAAAACTCGCAGCAAACAGACATAAACTCTCACGCTTTTTAAAAACCCCTAAAAAAGTTGCCCACCTAATGAAGCAGTAAACCATCGTGGTTTCTCGAGCGAGGGACGAGTTGTGTTGCGCGTCGCCCGTGGAAAAACAATGACTTTCCCCGCGACTCTGGGGTCGCGAAAGTAAAAGGAATATACGAGGAAGGGAAAGTTGTAAAGCGATTGTTGCTTTCGCAAATCGGTGAATACGTTTTACGCGGCTAATGTAATCGCGAAACTTTACTTGTATATCCGGCAAAGTTTTCCGAGAAAATTTTCCGAATTAATTCGAAGAAAAGTCCGTTTTTCCGTTAAAGGAGGAGGGGAGGGGGAGGGGGTGATGGTTCGTTCGTAATAAAAGCGTGTATGTTATCATCGTAACGCGGAAGCACGGTTGGTGCGCGAACGAATTAATAAATTTTTGTCGGACGAGGCAGTGAAATACGGCATTAAATTGAACAGCATCCGCGGGAACGCGGCGGACTAGTTGCGAATTACATTCGGATATATTACAAATTGCTCATTATCTCCACGCGCATTATGAATCACGTTGGGTGCAAGCGTAAATAGACTGCGCTTCGGCCAACTCGTAATAACTAACGCCCGGTGGTATACATTAACTGCGGATTTATTGTAATTCTCCGCGATTGCTTTATCCACGAATTCGTAACCGTATCCGTGGATTCGTATTATCCGCATATTTCGCCCGTAATGCATTGCGCGCAAATAGCATAGGTTGCGGCTCGCTGTGTAAAGTATAGAATATAGCCCGGACGATCATTCGACGATCTGCGCTTGCAAATTGCCAACGCGTCAATATTTACTTCCGTGACCGATAAAGCAAAAATTGTTCTCCGCGTTTCGCCAACGCAACATCGTTCTCGAATTTAATTCGATCGAGAAAAAAAAAAAGAATCTTTTTCGAAATAAATCGTATTCTTCTTCTTCTTCTTCTTCTTCGATTCGTGAGTTTTGTCGATAATTTAAAAAAAAGTTGGTTATCGTTACAAAATTCCGCGTATGAATATAGGGAGAGGGGAGAGGACTGCTAAATCGGGAATCCATCACCGATGGATCGTGACCGAATTCCTCCTCCTCGAGTTTTTAACTCGAATCTTTGACTTAGCGTGGTGGTTGGTCCCGCTTCGATTTCTCTCTCTCTCTTTGCCCACCAACTGTTTTCCTTAAATCGACATTTTGCTAAGAACGCGTTGGTATATAACGCGTATCCCTGCCAACCACCAATGGGCGCAACGATGCAGGGAAAAACTGGTATCGCGCGAAAAGAACACCTATCGCGTCCTACATCTTCATTTGCGTATTTGGCGCGCGGCGAGTATCGGGTTATCTTTGTCGGCAGCGATCGAATCGCGAGCGAAAGAAAAGTGACGCGGGGAGTTGTTAGGGAGAGAGTGGAGGTGCCTCGAGGCCGAAGCGAATGCAGCGGCACGTCGCGCCCCACCGATCAACCTTATCTGCTATCCGAAAGCGGGCGCGTGGCAAATTGTACCTACCCCGGCTCCGGGAATCCGGCAATCCCACCTGTAATTATCACCTCCGTGCTACGGCCTCTCCGACGTTCGTCCATTCCTTCTTCTTTCTTCCAAGCAAGGAACACGCGCGAAAATACATCGGTAGGGGAGAACGGGGAAATTACGGGGATTACTCGGTAAGGAAAGCTGTTCTCGAAAGCGAGCATGTGTCGTTTTGTCGTCGGCTTTATTACGTTCCTTTTTTCTTTTCTTTCTTTCGATACAAACAGTTTCCCGTTTATTTAAAAATTTATTATTATTCTATCCGAGATAGAATTAGGCGAGGCGAGAATTTTAAACGTTTCGTCCTCGTTGCGACGAGGAAAAATAAATCCGCTTGATAAAGGGATATTGTTAAAGCGTAAAGGGATCGATCGTTCGTTTCGATCGATTTTTAAACCTTTCCTTATTTTAAACCGAATTCTTCGTTGAAAACGTAGATAGATAGCAGCATGATCGATCCTTTTATTTTTTTACCACTTTGAACATGCACTTTTAACGAGCAGAGTGATTATAATTGTACGAAAAAGGAGGGAAATTTTCGAGAAATTATCGGCGAAATAAAAGACACGAGCAGTTGGGTCGCGTATTATCGCGTATCGGAACGTGGACGCGTTCTTGAAACCGCGAAACCGTGGGCGGCCGCAATCCGCAATAGTTTGGAAAAAGGTGCGCGACACTCATTGCACCGCAGGTGATAATGTAAAGGCTCGGTAGGAGGACGTGGCTACGCGTTATATAGGAATTGGTGCATGGCAAACGGGGCAAAATAATCGGACGTCGAGAGTTATGGGGCGCGAACCGGCGGCCGGTTAATCAGCCACCGATAATTATCGACACGGGCAGTACATCACTACCCTCCCAACCTCTCCACCATCCCACTGCCCTCCTTCCCTCCACCAGACCCTCTCTTCTCTCTCCTCTATGCATCCGATTCACCGCCACCCTCTTCGCCCTCGAAACACCCGAACCCCTTCTAACCCTCTCCTCCACCTCCTCCTCTTCCTCCTCCTGCTCTCTGCCTCCTCTGCCTGCCGGCAGACCGACATCCCACCGCCTCCCGTGACAAACGCACCGCCGATACCATCATTTATTTCGCAAATGTGCTGCAAAACTGCCGCTATTCATTTTCGGTCCAGTCGATTCAGTTTTCCGCTCTGAGAGACGGCGGCGCCAGTCCTGATGGCAGTGCGCCGCGCGCCATCGTTTTATCGCCACCCGCGATTCCCGATCATCGCCACGCCGATAATGCGATTTCTCCGCGCCGGTTTTTAACCGTCGCAACCTCTGCAACCGCGCTTAAAAAACCGTCCCGGCTACTGCTCTTCCCTTTTTTTTTCTTTTTTATTTTCCACGCGTGTTTCCATCCGAAAATTCGGAAAAACCGGGAGGAGGGAAAAATGGGAATCGGAAAGGAATCTAGCGTGTATTTACACGTGGCGTCGCATGAAGTGTGCTTTATCGTTTCCCTTCCATCTACTACCTCTTTTACCTTCGATCGCTTTGTCGATAGTCGTCGCGTTTCTATCGTTTCGAAGAATCTGTTATGCGATAACTTTTATGGATGTGGGGAATGGATGCCTCTGCGCGATGCGAAAGAGAGGATAGAATTACGCGTTTACACGAAACGCGCGTTTGATACGAAAAATAGAGAGGTGTCTCTAATGATAGAGGTTAGGGAAGAAATAGCTTTTAGCGCGAAACGTTTGGAATAAATAATCGTCGTGTGCGACGATTAATATCTGTTGGCGAGACGATTTTCTCAAACGACACGATGGAAAAATAATCACGTTTACGCGCGTTTAGATTTCGTTTCGATCGAAACGGAGAGCGAGATAAAAGGGCAGCGAAAAGTCACGTTCCGAAGGATCAATCCGGAGCGTTGGACGCGCGAACTGTGCGAAGTAGCGCAGTGGAAAAGGGGACTTTCCGTGCCATTACTCAAAGATGGCATTGGAGTCCGGTGGCCTAATCTCGGCACATGAGACCTTAATGGGATTTTAAGGCGTCGAGGCCACCTGCGCGCTCCCCCATCCGACAACCTCGTTTGTCTTTCCTCTCTACCAGTTTTGGCCATTCTTATTCCATTCAAGGCCGAATAGGATATACCTATTTCACCCTACGATACAGGATCTCACTTGTGACGTCCGAATTTGGTAATCGCGCATCGTTCGCGGTATCCAATACACGCGCGTTATTCATAGCCGGCGATCCTACTGAAATGCTTCGCGATTCCTGAATATAGCATAGAGAGAGAGAGAGAGATTGAATACTAATTTTTTTTTTTTTTTTGAGAATGCACGTTTTTCGTTACGCGTTGTTGGGAATAAACGACGAGGAATGATTTATTAAATAATTTGTACATTTGTGAATTTCAGGGTCGGCGTCGGCAGGGCACACTTCGAAAAACAACCACCGAGTAATTTGAGGAAAAGTAACTTCTTCCATTTCGTGATCGCTCTTTACGATCGACACGGGCAACCGATCGAGATAGAGAGGACTTCTTTCATGGGTTTCGTCGAAAAAGATCAGGTAAGTAGAGACACAAAGATCACACTTCCTTGTATATCTCTATCAAGTACGAGCGTACCTTCTAGAGAGGTGTAGAGGGAAAAATCCAGATATATATATATATATGGAATAAAAAAAAATCGGGGATCATCGGTTAATAATCAAGTTAAAATTAAGCGATGGCGTCGAGTGACAAGTTTGGAATTTCAATGCACATCGTAGTCCCCGTTTTCCCCATGAGGTTAAGTGGAAAAAGGCGAGGTGGACCTTTATGACATGAGGGAATATCGTGCGAGCGTACGCTTATCTCGATAATTGCCGTTTCCATCGGGGCCGACGTCAAATATTAAACGGCTCCGCCTATACGTATACATATCGATAGTCGGCGGCCAGGATACACCTCCAGCTTTTCCAGCAATTAGTCCGACAGGCGAAAATCCATTGGCCGCGTGAGAAATGGACGGATCGCGTAAGAGCATCGATGTTGTCACGCGAATCGAGCTACGAATAATAACCAACCGGCCTTTCCACTTTCTTTCGTCCGCCGTCTCTCTTTCTCTCTCTCTCTCTTCTCCTTTTCCTATCGCAGATTCTATCTCTTCCAACATTCGTTACTGAATCGTTCTACCGTTGAAAATACGAGCAAATAAATCGTAAATATTCGATTACGCTCAACGTCTTAACTTTAAATATTTAGATCGATACGTGTCCTCCCCCTCCATTCGAATTTTAACCATACCGCGTGTCGAAATATTGTTGAAAATGTGAATAAA